CTAAATGAATAACTCTTTACTATCATCTCATATCCACTGGGTGCCCACCTCTCCTGGACCGTCGCATAGACGCCTTTTTACCGTCGGCTTCTCTTAGGCCGGATCTAAACAAGGCCCACGCGTGGCATCTGGACGACATGTCTTTAAGACTGTGTGACTCTACCATCATGGCAACTTCCTCTTTCTTTTCTTCGGTGGATGCAAGGAAATTGTTAAATGACCCGCTAAATGTGATGGCTTCTGTCTAGCATCAGCTGATGCCCAAAGACAAAATAGACACTCATGGCAAGACCTTCTGCTTATGCCATTGGCTACACTTTCACATTTCAAAGTCTCGAGAATTGCGAATTTCCGGCCGATCTGATTAGATTGCTCTGTTTTACTTTGTGCTGTGGTTGTCACTAAGCTCAGACTAGCGCTGCCCTTTTCTTGCTGTCCACTGGGCTCACATGATCAGTCTTTAGTTCTCCGTTTCTTTGCTTTATCCCTCTAAAACGACCTGTTCAGCTTTTGAGTTACCATTTTATGTCTTAACCCACCCGCTTTTCCCCACCTCCTAACATCTATGAGATCGGCGGCATCGATGACCATGGCATGTGATTTAAGAGGCAACCTTCTTCTCTCCCATTTGGTCCATTAAACGATGGCGCATCTTACAGCCAAAGGAGTCTCAGACCTGATTACATAAAGGCCCCTCGCTGTGGACCTTCTACTCCTCCCTCCCAACAGTGGGCAGCTTCTCCGGGGCAACCTTCTGAAGGAGGTAGACCAGTCAGGGTTTGAGAGGGCACACACGACATTCTAGGTCTTCAGAGTGGAAGTGGTTGGATACAGATCCAGAAGCCTCTGCGGCTGCTGGAGGGCAGGGGGCCAAGGCGAGGGAGGCAGTTCCCAGAGATCCAGGGGCGCAAGGGTTGCAGGGAAGCCCCCCTCCATGGTTTCAGCCTCCTGCGTGCCTGACGTGGGGAAATCTCCAGACGACATCCAGAAATGCACGTCTGCCTTCTGCTCGGCCAAAGGCCTGTCCTGAACAGCTACCAGAGGAAAACTGCTTCTGCTTACCTCCCACCTTCTCCCTCGCGGGGGGCTCTAACCCCCACCGCTGGCAAGGGGGCCTGGGAAATGCCGCCTCCAGGCTGCTCGGGGGAGAACTTAGAAAGGCTGGGGGCGGGGCGGGGCGTGTCAGCACCACGCTGCGCTTCGGAACACGTCACCTTTGTCAGTCCATACATTCAACATAAAGGAGCTTCATCTCTCCCATCTTCTCTAAATGTAAAAAGAGCGTGTTGTATATTCTTCCCCTCCCACTGGATTGACTTCTTTCTGTGCCTCATGGACTATATAGACCCCCACCCCCCGACATCGATGAACTTGAGCAGCGCAGGCCAGCCAAAGGCAGGTGCAACAGTGAGGCCAAAGGTGGAGTGGGGCTTCCTGAGGCCATAGCCTGCCCCGCCTGCCCCCTTCGCCCCTGAGGGATTAGTTCCCCAGGCGAACGAGCTTAGGTAAGGGCTTTGGTTCTTCAGCTGAAGAGCGGGACACAGAATTACTGCAGTAGTAGGACACTTAGCACTCATAGTCGCTAGGAACTGGCTCACGTGCTCTATCATGAGCTTCCCGAGGCTCTTCCTTCCCATGAACGTTGGGTCACCTCAGTTATGGTCTAGGCAGCTGGAGGGGAGGACGTAGGTCGCTTATTCCTTAAAGCTCGTCCCCTGGGCTGCGAGCGCCCCTGGAGCCAGAGCAGGGGGCCCCACGTGTCCAGAGTGACCTCTAGTATAGCAAGGAGAGTGGGGAAGCTCGAGCTGAGGACGTGCTCACTGTGGAGAGTTGCTCTCAAGGTGCAGTTTCATCGACCTTCAGGAGAAAATTGGGGAAATGTCGGGAGGTAAAGGAAGGAACCCTGTCTGCCGTGCATTGTGAACGTGGGCCCCGGGCGGCACATCCTCCATGCCCGAGAGCCCTCCCTCGTTCCCTGGATCAGCGTCAGAGGACTGAGAGATACGAGCGCGTCCCAGCATCTCACCGTACAAACAGCCCCAGAATTCCAACCGTACTTCATTCACTCAGCCAACGGTGAATGCAGCCCCTTCGTACTTGAAAAGCGGTGCTTTTCCTCCCCCACGACATTGTTCCTAGTCACGAGGTTTAGCTTCTCATTTCTAGTCATGTTACAGAAAGGCGTGGCTTTTTCATGCTCACAGAGGGGGCCTGGGTTTGAAAGTCTGGGAAGTCCTACTCTGCAACGCATACTGCGCAGACGTTGCAATGATCAGAAATCATGCAAAGACGAAAGCAAATGCTCCATGCGCCCGGAGGGCTGCCGAGGTCAGCTTGCAGAATGCCGCCAGCTGGTGTTGGAAGGAGGGACGGAGAGGCAAAACCAGAGGAAAGATCATTTTAAAAGCCTGGAGAGTGCACAAGAGCCTAACGTGGCATGCTCTCTCCGGACTACAAGCTGACAAACCTTTCTCTTTGAAAGAGCAAGTGGTTCTGAATCCCCCAAATCCCAGACGAGCACAGTGACACCCCCGTTCCAGCCACTAGAGCGGCAGCCCTGGAGCCTCGGCGAGGACCCTGTCGTCTCCCGGTGAACTAGCAGACACGCTGTTGCAGCGGGACGAGCTTCCGGGTTCAAAGGCATGGAGCAGAAGCTCCTGGCGTAGGGGAGAGGGGCAAGGGGTCAGGTACTGAAGGCGATGCAACCCCAATCCCGAGCCTCTAAGGCTTTTCCGCCCTGTAAGCTGGGAGAGCTGAAGGCAGAAAGGCAGTGTGGCTCCTGGCCCCCGGGGGTAAAAGGGCAGCCAGAACCGCGAGGCAGACGTGAGAACTCGGGGACGGGGACGAGATATGCGGGGGGCCCTGGTCCTTTCCAGCGCGCTCGCATCACCAATACCATTGCGAGCAACAAGTTTTGAGCAAAGACAAAGCTCACCGATGGAACTTCGTACTGCTCCCCTGGGGTCTCCTTTAGGCCCTCCAAGAGATCGGCCTTTTTTTTTTTTTAAAGATTTTATTTTGATTTACTTGACAGAGAGAGACACAGCGAGAGAGGGAACACAGGCAGGGGGCGAGGGAGAGGGAGAAGGGAGAAGCAGGCTCTCCGCCGAGCAGGGAGCCCGGAGATCGGCCCTTTGCTGCTAGCGATCTGCTCATCTGTAGAATGAGGGCAAGTGTTAATACTCAACTCTCTGGGCGTAGAAAACCACAAACTTAGTAGAGCGTTTCTTTATCACCTCTAATAAATTTGTACATTAATGTCATGCAGTGCAAGCAGATAAAATCAAATCTGAGGCTTTGACATTATTGTGGTTTTAAAACTTTATTATATTTTAAAATCTGAAAACTGTAAAACATAGTATTCATACAAACACCTGAGGACTGTTGAACTGGGCACAGCATCTTCACACAAACAATTTGAGAGAAGACCAGGTTTAAATTAGAATTTTGTCTTCTAACACAAAAGGAATAACATAGATAAAACCACCCTTTAAATAGTTGCATTCTTATATAAAGTACATTTGGTTTTCTGAAAATGTACATTCATGCCCCTGGTGTATATTTTATTGGCATTTACAACAAATGGCTAAGACTTTTAGCACAGATTCTCATAGCTTATAAACATTACACCAAACTTATACAAAGTAATTACAACATATAGCACCATTTCCCCTTAAAAGTTCTAATTTTAAAAATAAAGCCCAAAATGAGAAGTCAGAATTAATGCATCTTCCAAAATTTAGCAGAATAGATGGCTCAGAGCTAAGCAAATTAACTAGAAACATTGCATAGGACAGAGAGCTTCCCTGTATGAAAACCAACCTACGGATTGTTTCTTATCCCCTGAAGACAAAGCTGAGAGGTAATAGTAATAGCAAATGATGCACATATTTTTTACAGAATAAAAACCTCTAACTATATAAATAGTTCACCATTACCTCTGTGGCAGTACAAAGTGCCATATTAAATTCAAAAAGAACAGATTTACTTGTTTGTATACCTACAGTTATAGAATAATATATAAATACGGTATAGTATCCATATGAGGAATAAACACAGACAATAAAATAGCTATCTTTAAAAAATGTGGGCACAGGTGTCTTCATATGGAGATGTGAGAAATGAATGCCCAGTTAAATGTCTACACTTAGCGAAAATATGTAATGTTTTAAAATAATAGGTATATTATTGAAAAAAATTTAATCAGACTCCATCCAAACCACCCTTGTAGTATAATATCTCCTGCATAAAACAACCATTCTATTTATCCTATAATTGTTCAAAAGTTATCAAAAACTGATTAAGAACACTTTATGAAAGTTTATAAGCTTGCTTTTTTTCTTTAAATATGAACAAATACAACATACAGAGAAATAATAACAAAAGGAAAATAACTTATATGGCTTTCCCTTTCTAGAGACTGGCAGGACAGGAACAGAACTTGTAGTAACAGACATAAAATATCTGGAGAAAGATAATATCTACAGCTGCATCTTTAAATTCTCTTCTAAGGAAAACTTGTCACAGATTTCATTAGAGAACTTGTCAGTCCCTGATACTTCCCCCTTTGGGATTTAGCTGTTTTGGTTCTATATATAAACATTAACTTAGTGGATCAGTACATCAAAAACTAGTGATGTATTGTATGGTGACTAACATAATAAAATTAAATTAAAAAAAAAAAACCATTAACTGAAATCAAAGGTGTTTCTCTGTTTCCAGCATGAAAATACATTTGTAAACTGTACAAAATGATAAACTGTAAACTGTAAAACAATAAAAAGACATAACTCCCAATTTGAATATGCTAATACTAACAGGTAAATAGTTTTTTAAAGAAGTAGATTGGACTATCATGTTGTTCTGCAATGCTGGATATAACCTATATTTAGAGGAACTGTCTACCAAACAAAAGCTGCTAGGGGAATTAAAATATTTTTAAATTAAAAGTTATCAGGATAACAAAGAACTCTGTCCAGTCTAAACTTATACATTTTTTTTCAATTGTATTTTCCTTCTTTAAGTTTTTCAATGTAGTAACATAACTTTAATGCTGGGCCCAGCTTCAGCCCCATGTACTTCATCATCACATCACTTTTGAGTAGTAGCAGAGCCTTCCCATCAATTTCCTACAGAGAGAAAGAAATTACAATTAATAATGCATTCATATTTTGTCAAGTTATATATAAGAACATGTAAAATAGAGAGCAGTTGTACATTCTCGATATATATTCTGAGTATGCATTTATTTCCTGAAAACTATTAAAAATATAATTTATACTGCAAGACACCATTTGATAATTTCTAAATTCACTTCAAATTTTAAGAAACAGGAAATTTAATCCAGTATCTTTCAAAATTGGCCTAAGCACCAAACTATCTCATTTTAAATACTGTGTGTTGAATAAAATACTACATATCTATGACAAAAGTTAGAAAGCTATGAATTGTAGAAATGAATTTCAGACGGTCATTAACTTTCTTAGAAAGGCTGGGAATATGAGGATGTCAGCGTCAATGCAAACTGTAAATGTGTTATACAGTGTTGTCTTTATGTTGAAAGCTAATCAGTTGTCTGAAGCTAAACTAATTAAATGTAAAACTAATTACCGATTTTCTTAGAATACTGAAAAGGACAGAAGATACTCGGTCGCTGATTTGTTACAAAAGACTATAAACATTACTTAATAGACACAAGGCATCCTCCTAAAGTTTTTTACTTCCTTAATTAACCAATTTATGTCGGAGAAGCATATTATTTGGTATTCATGACTCCTATTTAACATAAAACTGCACTTAATCTTACACAGTTGCTGGATTCATTGGGCAGGACACCCTGTCACAGCTTGTGGTTACCCCCTCCTACTCACGGTCCTGGGGCCGAGCAGGGAGCAGGTGGGGAGGAGGATCCTTGTGGGAGAAGACATCTGAGAGTGGCCATTGCTGAATCATCTTCTCTTGAGAACTTGAAGACTTGTAGTATTTTAGGTACTCGGGTACCCATTTAAAGCACAGATCCAGCCTCTACCATTTAAGAATCTAACTTTGGGCCAAGTAACCTTTCTCACATATGGAAAAATCAGTTGATAGGGTTCCCCCACCATCCACACTAATCAGCATCCATCCAACTGAAGGGCCTGCACAGAGGTCATTGAAAGGCATTACGGCAGGAAAACCGGATCAAAAGATACATTACATGTTGCCTGAAGAGGTCGGCGAGGGGGCCTGATATCTGAGGATCTTTATGTTTCATAAACTGTATCACTTCATCCACAGACCAGGTTGAAGGGTCCTTAGAGAAGCCTTGTTTCAGGACACTGGGGTCAGGTACAGCTATATAACTTGGAGCTTCAATGGGGGGAAAAAAGACAAATCATACTTGACCTGATCATTATCCTGAAAGAAGAGATGTTAGGTAGGGAGAAATGGCCCCATTCCTGGGACCTTCTATTAAGCACCCCAGCAAGGACCCAGGACTCCAAGTGTAGAATCCAGTGAGAGCCCAGATTAGGATGACCTGAGGATGGCTACCCAAGAGCACCCCACCTGACCTCCCCCAAACAATAAAAGCAGCTTCGGAATTTACCTTAAAGCCTCAAAAATCATCAAACAGACTGATCAATCTGAGTCCTTGTGGGCCACAGGCAAAGACAGCACAAGATCTGGTGCTTGGGGTAAATGAGGTTAATCTAAGCTCACCTATTACTCTTGAATTTCTCTCAATCTCTCTCCTCTCGGTCTGTCTAGATTAGGTTTCTTTTACTAGCTAAATAGAATGGAAAGTCTCCAAATTTAGGTTCATAGTTGCTTAAATTTATTCACTTTAATCAAGGAATCTCAATAACCCCATTATCTTTGAGAACCAAATGAGTTTTACCGAATCTCTCCCATGTATTCAGTACGGATAATTTTAGCATCACTTTACTCTTCAAATTCCCGTCTCTTAAGGCTGAAATGGTTATCTGAATTTTGAAGAAAACAGGATTATTTTCTGCTTGGCTAGGTCAGAAGTAACTTTAACATTATACTCAATACCTCTCTCAAGTTTAATTGCACGGTAATAGATACTCTGGTTGAATGTTTATAGGTCGAAAAAAGAAATAATTGAGAAATAGAATTAAGCACTCAGACCTCAAAAAGTTTTAGCTGTGCTGTTCACCAGGTTGTGCTGTAATTTCTTTGTGTCCAGACAAGTATTCATTCTATTCAACCAGAGCACTTGACTCTCTAAAGTTAGTGTGTGATAACAGAAGTGAGTTTTGTAATTTGCCGGGAAAATCTGTTTCTTTAAACAAGGACCGTCAACACAAATTTGGTCTTTTTTGGTGTGATTTAACCAAAGATATGTTTTCTTTCCTATCATCTGGGCTCCAGCCATTTTAGGGGCATTTTGAGTATTTACCCAGGTAAAGGACAAAGAAAAACAGAAGCTAAAAGAACTCAGAATCTAAGTTTTTTTGTGTGTAGCTCAAAAGTGTACTTATTTTCTCCTTCAATATGACAACTTTGATGTGAAACAAAAACTCTTTACTAAAACATATCCTCCCTTTCACTTGTCAGAGATAAAAATGTTGGTCATATCTACCAAGAAATGCTACTGCGCTATTTCAACCCAAATGAAAATGATGATGGTATAGACCATGCCATGCCTAAGGCATTCTAACAATTTAGGCAGAAAAGTCTTCTCCTTTAGTTCTAAGAAAGACTTAATTTAAGATGAAAAAACTATTGGCAAAGCTAATCAAGCTAATCATACTTCTAAATAATTTTGTGGCATTTCTGGTTTATGTCATCAGAATCCGATATTGTTGTATCTTAAATAACATGCAACCAGTTTTACAGATTACTACAGAAAAACTATATGCAAATATGTAACTTATGGTATAAAACTGTAATTTTATATTAAAAATAAAACAACTATAAGATCACCTATTTTTAATTCATTATGGAGAAATCATTTAATTGGGCCCGTACCTTCAAAACAATCAGAGAAGTTGTAAACATTAGTGTTATCCAAATAATTACATGAAATAAACTATGTGAAAAATAATCAAAATCCAGTCATGCTTTTCTCCTGAATGGCTCTGTCTTACACTAGAGTATCAGTAAGTGTTTCTGAAATGAATAAAAGTGATTTTATTTTATCCACAACGTTACTGGATTTCTTTCCTATAATAAAAATGAACAATTTATTTCATTCAAATAATGGGGCAGGGCAGGAGGTTGTGAGAGCATCACCAGCAATCAGGGGTGGACTCAGCTTTAATTAACAGTTCCAAGACCTTAAGGAAAACAATAGTAATGACACCTCTAGACAGTTTCCAAGGGAAATGCTTACCTATTCTCTGGAAATGGAAGCAGCCCAGCAGTTAAGCATACAGCCTAGAGTCAGAGCGCCTGGATTCAAGGACTGACCCAGCCACTTTCTAGCTGGGGACCTTAGTCAAGTGACTTCTCAGATTTCTCACATGAAAATGTTTACCAGCACATACGTCTTAAGGAATTGCTGTAAAGGCTATGTAAAATATTACATGCCTGGCACATGTCAGAGAGTGATGAAGATGATGCTGATTTCTATTACTAATAAGTAAATTACCAGTAAGTAATGTTATTACTCTTAGTCTTTCCACTCCTGGGAAGACCAAAAGCTAGACTTCTCAAGCTCAAATACAGGCTACTTTGGCATAGTAATATTAGTCACACATTTGAAAGTGAGGAATTCAGTATCAGGGGTAACCTTTTATAGCCTTTTGCTGAGAAGGCCTGTCTTCAAAGCTCTCATTTTGTGAAAATACCTAAAAATTCTGGGTATACTACCCCTTGATGGGATAAGCATCTACCATCAGACTCCTTGCAAATGTCACTCTGAAAGCAGAGACGATCTACATGAGGTGGAAGATGGGGGGATGATACTAAACGTGTCATGGCATGTATACAGCGCAGTTGCCCATAGAAAACATCCATTAAGAAAAGCAATCAAGTTGGATGGTTCCTACTGCCTTCAATAGTCACCTTGCCTAGATGCCTACCAAGGAGAAAAAGGACAAAACACATTCCCACCCTTACCCCACCTCAGCCCACCCCTACCCCCACCCCCTTCATCCTTAAAAAGGGTAGAGGGTAACTATCTTTGCACATGGAAAACTATTCTGGCTCTTTCCAAATGGCAAAAGGATGCTGCCCTGTTTACACATGTTATGTATTCCTGGTGGGTCTGAGGGAGTAACTGAAGGTGTAAAGAATGGAGAAACAGCTACAGCAACAGAATACCAGAGCCCAGATCTGGGAGCCACACACAGGCTGGAGTCAGGGAAGGTCTCAAAAGAGACAAGGAAGAGAGTACATCAGAAAGGAGAGGAAGTGCATCTTTCCAGGCCTCAGAGTCACAGGAGGTTTCTGAGTCCAGACAGGATCCAGTGAAGTGATAAATTACAATGGAACCATTAATAAGAAGCACTGATCTAAGACGTCTACAAGAGACATGGCTGGTGACCCAAATCCCCAGGGATACTTCTATGCCGCCATGAGGATCGGAGCATCTGTAGTGACTTGACCCTGACAGTAACATAAACAGGGAGGACTCAAACTCCTCAATCTTGGCACTTTCTCCAATGTGATACACTCTCAAGGGATGTTGTTGGGCAAAGAAACCTTAAGGAGAAAGAAACATGTTGGTTGAGAATCACTGTTTTTAAATATACCTTCACTTTTCCTCTGCATTTGGAATTTAACTTCATGGTGACTGCTCTTGGTAGATCTGGTCCCCACTAGTGCTGAACTTGAGATGCCAGGCACACTTGGAGAAAAATTCCTGGAGACTACAGTATGAGTGCTTACAGGATTTCTGCTGGTAGGGCTTAAAGAATTTGCTGGATTTAGTGGTGAGTTTTTGGAATCTTCAGGAAGCTTTTCCTCTTTGGGCATGCCATTTCCCTCAGAAGACAGTAGTTCTTCTACAAGAAAAAAAGACAAGGGCAATTATCTTCAGTAGACTTATAGCTTAAATACTACTAAAAGGTCAAAACATCTAATCTTCAACAGTTCACTTAAGCCATGCTATACTGAACCATAAACCTCTAACATAAAGTACGTGGCCAACCCCCCCTTGGCATTTATAGTAATGGACACTGTCTTAAAATCCAAATTGATTCCACTGTGTCACCTGTATTTCTCATGGCAACTGTCCCTTCCCAGTCTTGCTACCAAGGCTGTGAACACCTCACTAAAGCATTCATTTTTAGGAATGCAGTTCTTCACAACCCTTATAATATGATCACACAGTTGGCTTCTAACATTTGCTTACTACTTGGACACTTAAAACTTTCAGTGCAGAAAGGCACTAGGCACTAGGTTTTTCTATTCACTTTTTATCAGCTTTCAGTAATACAAAACTGAATGGAAAATGTTACTGTAATTATTTTACTTTTATCTAAGGAGAAATGACAACTGTGTACTTCTGAAGAGAATGAAACTCTTGACAAAGCTGCCAAAGTAGTAGCCTAAATGCTCACCTGATTTGGGCAAATACACACCCCCACCCGAGAGCATATAGTTAAGTGGTAGTAGAGTGACTTTTCTTCCCATTCCAGGAACTTGTAAATACTATTTACCTTTAGAGGCATGCATCTTTGTTTTGGGGAGCTTAGGTGACACAGGAACAACATAAGGTATAGGTTCCTGAGAAGGCCGTTTGGGGCTTTTCTTTTCTGTTATGTCTTCTTTTACTGTTTAAAAAAAAGGTGTCTCTTATAACTAACATTCCTCAAGCATTTTCAGATCATCAGCATATAACACTTTTGTTTCTAAATCATTTGCCTACTGTAACTGCATCAGCAATTTATCAATTACTTGATTATTTATGAATAATATGTGTTGATTTCATCCCATTAAATATTTCGGTGACATCATATTCAAGAGCTAAAAGAATTATATATAGGCATCATTTATTCCAGGATCATCAGATATCTCTAAGTATCTCAGGAAGCAGTGAAGCAATCAATTATAACGTGTCGAAAAAGGCCTAGGAAAACTGTTCCCATGAACAAAAAAAGTTAAGAATTCAGAGAAGGAGAAGACAGTGTACAGTGGATATCTCATTTTATAGGCAACAGTCCTGGCCCAGAGCTACCCTTCCTATAACTCTACAGCTTATTATTAAACCAAATGCATTTTTACCTAAAGGACCACTCTTTAAGGCATGATCCTGAAAGTAACGACATCTCAAATTATTAATTAAACTCTAAATATCAATCAGTATCTTGATTTAACCTCCAACTAAAAGGAAAAATTAAGTATAATAGAAATCTAAATAGTTTGATAATAGAACTTGCATGAGAAGATTGCAATGAGAATGTACCAAAGTCAAACTTCATCTGGTTCAAAACAGCTGGGGGCCAGGCATGCTTCTTAAGATCCTCTGATAAGCAACTTTTAGCCATCTGGTTACTGATTACTAAAGAGTCTAAGAGAGCTCTTACCACTTGATTTTATTTTTAATTATGAACTACAAAAACCAATAGGCAAAACATATTTCCGTGAATGGCAAATATTTCTATAATTAGGACATTTAAATTCCTACAAAGAAAAAATTGGCTTTTTCCATACTCATTTAATGATATGGAAAATTAGAATACTAATGTATAGTTTTCTACAGATAGATGTTACCTCAGAATCTTAGCAAGATCAGAAAATCTTTTCTTTTACTTGTAATATTTTAATGCTTTCTTATAAAAAGTTAAGGAGGCTAGTGTATGGTCTACTATCTGGGGCTGATAAAACATAAAAATGACTCTTGACTTCTGCTCCTGGGTATTGTAGTAAGCTCAGGCATGAAACTTTTCCTGCAGGGATAACTAGAAAAAGCCATATAATTTACAAAATACTTTAAAAGTCATCACGGAGAGGCACTTCCAGGATGACTGATTAAAGACCTGCAAAATCCACTTCATAAAAATAATGAAGAGATTGGCAAAATTAATTTTTCAAAAACTCTGGACATTACATAAAGGCTTACAACAACCCAAAAAGCATTTGTTCAAGAAAAAAGTGGCTGAACCTCAGAAAGAACAGCAAATTCTGTGGCATTTTAGCTTCCCTACCATCATCCCCTTCACTGTTTTTGCAGCAGCTTTGCAAACCAACAGGTTCATAAGTACTGTAGTTGTGAAAGCCAGCAAATCCTAGCAGTCACTGGAGGGAACACAATGGGTTTGGGGCTCTCAAAAGGCCCTAGCCCCAGAGAACTGGCACAATTTGAACCTTGAAACTCAATGGAAAGCTCTGATCTCAGGCTTTGTTTTATTGGACCTAAATCAGAGCCTGCTCTGTGTGAACAGTCCTATCTCTAAGGCATTGCTCAAACAATCAAACAAGCAAACAAACCAAAAAAATCCACCGTAGTAATTGTTTAACACTATAGCTGCCTGAGGCAGCATCATCATTTGGGGCTGATAGGAAACTGACCAAAAAGCTTTAAAAACAAACCTGGAGAATAAAATGTCCATTAGGAGACTTTGAAAACCATAGAGATACTCCTGGGAATCTAGAAGGCCATATGCATGTGCAAGGCAGTATCCACGCCCAGGAAAGACCTAAGACCTTAATCTTTCTTTTCTTGCTGACCTTGAGGCTCTGCACAAAGCAGACTTTTAAACTGCTTCTTGGAATGTTCAAGGTAAGTTACATGAACTCTGTGGCAAAGGATGGGAGACACACTGGTTGCAGGCATTTATGGAAATCCCTGTCCAATCATTTGTTGAACACTAAGTGAACAGACTTCAGTGGCCACATATAATAAATGAGCCCAGGAAGTCATTAGGTTAGTCCAGGAAAGTCACTATACAAAAGCACCAGCAACAACAAACCCTAGGGAAGAGGAGAAAATCTGATTTTCAGAGTTACTGCTTTACACTCTTTTAAAATGTCCAGTTTTCAATTAAAAATTAGGAGACATGCAAAAAACATAAAAGTATGGCCTATACAAAGGGGGGAAAAACAGTCAATAGAAACTGCCTCTGAGGAAGCCCAGATACTGTAGTTAGTAAACAAGGACTTTAAATCAGCAATTTTATTCATGTTCAAAGAACTAAAAAATAATAATGTCTAAGGAACTAAAGGAAAGTACTAGAACAAAGTCTCACCAAATAGAGACTATCAATAAAATGATAAAAAATTACAAATCGAAATTTAGGACTTGAAAAGTAGTATAAATGAAATGAAAAATTCACTAGAAGGGCTCAACAGCAGATTTGAACTAGCAGAAGAAAGAGTCAGCAAATTTAAAGAAAGGTCAATTGGGATTATAAAGTCTAAGGAACAGAAAGAAAAAAGAATGAGGAAAAATGAACAGACTCCAGAGACCTATGGGATACCATCAAGGACACCAAAATACACATAATGGAAGAGCTCCAAAAGGAGAGGTGACAGAGAGAAAGGGCCAGAAAGAATATTTGAAAAAGTAATGGCTAAATGTTTCCCAGATTTGATAAAAAGCATTAATCTGAATAGCCAAAAAACTCAACTATCTCCAAGTAGGCAGGATAAATTCAAAGATAGCCACACCTAGAAAAAACACAGTCAAACTATCAAAAGCAAAAGACAAAGAGAACCTTGAAATTACCAAGTGAAAAGCAAATCTCATACAAAGGATCCTCAATAAGATTAACAACTGACTTCTCATCAGAAACTATAGAGGCTAGTAGGAAGTGGGATGATATATTCAAATTGCTAAGACAGTCAACTAAGAATTCTACATCCAACAAAACTAAACTTTAAAAAATGAAGGAGAAATAAGAAATTCTTCACAAGCAAAAAGTGAGGGGCACCTGGATGGCTCAATTGGATGAGCATTTGACTCTTGGTTTTGGCTCCCATCATGACCTCAGGGTTGTGGGGTCAGGCTCTGCCCTGCGGGGAGTCTGCTTGAGATTCTCTCTCTCCCTCTCTCTCTCCCTAAAATAATCTTTTTTTAAAGAAGTGAGAAAATTTGGGGCGCCTGGGGGGCTCAGTCAGTTGACCATCTGCCTTCAGCTCAGGTCGTGATCCTGGGGTCCTGGCACTAAGCCCCAAGTAGGGCTCTCTGCTCCGTGGGGAGCCTGCTTCTCCCTCTCCCTGCCGCTCCCCCTGCTTGTGCTTGCTTTCCCTCTGTCAAATAAATAAAATCTTTAAAAAACAATAAAATTTTTTTTAAAAAAGTGAAAAAACTCCTCACTTGAACAGCTTACCTACAAGAAATGAAATTACATTCAACAGTAACTCAAATCCTCATAAAAAATTAAAGAGTACTGGGGTGCCTGGGTGGCTCAGTTGTTAAGCATCTGCCTTCAGCTCAGGTCATGATCCCAGGGTCCTGATTTTGAGGCCAGTGTTGGGCTCCCTGCTGAGCAGGGGAGTCTGTTTCTCCCTCTCCCTCCCTCTGCCCCTGCTCGTGTTCTCTCTCTCTCACTCACTCTTTCTCTCAAATAAATAAATAAAATCCTTAAAAAAAATTAGAGTACCAGTTAAAATATCTGTGGTTAAATATTTATTTATGAGAGAGAGTGTGCATGCAGGGGAGGGAGGGGTAGAGGGAGAGAGAGAAAGAAACCCAAGCAGACTCACGCTGACTGTGGAGTGTGGAACCCAATGAAGGGCTCAATCTCACAACCCTGACATCAGACCTGAGTGGAAACCAAAGTTGGATGCTTTACTGACTGCGCCACCCAGGCACCCCAAATACATTTGTCTTTATAACTCTTTTCTTCTTCGTCTTCCCTTAAAAAAACAAATAGGGGCACCGGGCTGGCTCATTCAGTAGAGCATGTGACTCTTGATCTCAGGGTCATGAGTTCAAGACCCATGTCGGGAAGAAAGGTTAAAACACAAAAAAATGATAATAATGAAAAAAAATTACAAAATTATATTTTGGGGCTTATAATGTATAAAATATAATTTGGCAATAAAAGAACAAAGAAGGGAGCAGGAAATAGAGCTGTAGTAGAGCAAGGTTTTTGCATAATATTAAAATTAAGTTGGTATTAATCCAAACAAGATTGTTTTAAATTAAGATATTAATTGTAATCCCCACGGCAGGCAACTACTATGAAAATAACCCCTGGACAGGAAAAAAAAGAGAAAAAACTCAAAAACTTTAGTAGAAGGAACAACAAAGGAATTAAGATAGTATACAAGAAAACATCTGTTTAAAACTAAGATTCAGGGGCACCTGGGTGGCTCAGTCGGTTAAGCCACTGCCTTCAGCTCAAGTCATGATCCTGGAGTCCTGGGATCGAGTCCCGCATCAGACTCCCTGTTCGGCAGGGAGTCTGCTTCTCCCTCTGACCCTCCCCGCTCTCATGCTTTCTCTCTCTCTCATTCTCTCTCTCTCAAATAAATAAATAAAATCTTAAAAAAAAAAAACTAAGATTCATATACAAATAAAAATAAAAACAGAAAAAAAAACATTTAAAACAAAAAGAGGAAAGTTATCAAAGAAAAGAAGAAAAGACAAAAAGAAACACTAAGACCTAGAAAACAAATAACAAAATGGTAGATGTAAATCCTACCTTATGAATGAATGAATAAATAAATTCTTATTAGTAATTATATTAACTGTCCATGAGATAAACACTCCAGTAAAAAAATTAGCAGAATGGATTAAAAAAAAAAACAACCATGTTCCAATTACATAATTAACACAAAAGATACACTTTAAATTCAAATATACAAATAAGTTCAAAGGGAAAGGTGAGAAAAAATATACCACACAAACAGTACTTAAAACTGGACTGGTTATAGTAACATCAGACAAAACAGACTAAGAAAATCCTAAGAAATTCACACATACAAAAACCCCAATGGTAAGTAACAAATTCAGCAAGATCACAGAATAAAGATTAATAATACAAAAATCAATTGCATTTCTACACACTTGGAATGAACAACCCAAAATTTAAGAAAATAATTCTATTTACAATAGTGTTAAGAACAATAAAATGTTTAGGGATGAATTTATCAAAAGAAGTGCCAGATGTGCTTTCTGAAAACTACAAAATATTATTGAAATAAATTAAGGAAGACCTAAATACACTGACATCCCATATTCATAAACTAGAAGACTCAATATTAATTTTTAAGAGATTTTATTAATGAACTGATTAATTAATTTGAGTTGGGGGAGGGAGAGAGAACACGCAAGCAGGGGAGAAGCAGAGGGAGAGGGACAAGCAGATTCCACATTGAGCATGGAGCTGGATGCGAGGCTCAATCCCAAGACCCTGAGATCATGACCTGAGCTGAAATCAAGAGCCACCCAGACTCAATATTATTAGATGGCAATAACCCCCGAATTGATCTACAGATTGAACACAATCTCTACTAAAATCCAGCAGAAAATGATAAGCTGAACTTAAAAATCATATGGAAACTCAGAATTGCCAAAACAATCTTGAAAAAGGAGAACAAAGTTGGAAAACTCATACTTCCTAATTTCAAAAGTTACTACAAAAAGCTACAGTAATCAAGATAGTGTGGTACTGGGGTGCCTGGGTGGCTCAGTTGACTAAGTGTCTGCCTTTGGCTCAGGTCATGATCCCAGGGTCCCACTCTCCCTGCTTGTGCTCTCCCTGTCAAATAAATAAAATCTTAAAAAAAAAAGGATAGTGTGGTAGTGCCATGAGGATTGACATACAGATCAATGAAATACAAAGTCCAGAAATAAATCCATATATTTACAGCCAACTGATTTTTCACAAGGGTGCCAAGACAAGTCAGTAGGAAAAGAGTGGTCTTTTCAACAAATGGTGCTGGGCCAATTAGATATCCACATGTGAAAGAATGAAACTGGACCCTTATCTCACTGTATATAGAAAAATTCAAAATAGACCAATAACCTAAATATAACAGCTAAAACTACAAAATTCTTAGGAGTAAACATAGGAGTAAATCTTTGTGAAACTGTATTAAGGAATATTTTCTTAGGCATGACACCAAAAGTATAAGAAACAAAAGAAAAAATAGGTAAATTGGACTTCACTGCAATTAAAAACTTTTGTGCTTCAAAGGACACCATCAAGAAAGTGAAAAGACAACCTACAGAATGGAAGAAAATATACGCAAAGGATATTTCTGATACGGAACTTGTATCCAGAATATATAAAGAACTCTTTATATATTAACAAATATAAATATAATATAATATATAAGAGGAACAAATATATTTCATTTCTATGTAATAAAAAGACGAAGAACCCAATTAAAAATAGACAAAGGATTTAGATAGACATTTCTCCAAAGAACATCTACAAATAGCCAAGAAGCACATGAAAAGATGCTTAACAACCTCAGCCATTAGGGAAATGCAAATCAAACCACAGGATACTTTCCAGGTTTTGATTCTCAAGTTCATTATGAATATAAGAAATTACCTGCCCACTTTGAATGAACAAAAACAACTATATATTATATATGTCTAATTAGTTCATGGTGGCTAAAATGTTTACTTTGAGAACATGAGGAAAAACTAAATTACACAAGATTCTCGCATTAATTACAAAATATAAAATAGAAGCACAGTACAAAATTTTACATTTTCTCTCACCTGATTTATTTTTATCATGCTCTGCAGGATTAGGAGTAGTACCTCTGTAAGAGCTAAAAGGCTGGCTGCTCAGAAGGTTATCACACTGCAAGCTATGGCATAAGGTCTCAAGAAAGCGAAGAGCAAATGATGCGCTATTCACTGGAGGGAGCTGGACAGAGTGAGTTTCCCCATCAAAGGAAGCTATTGGGGGGAAAAGAGATGTCAGAGTTAGCTCATAGAAAGATAAAACTACAACATCAAAAAAAGCCACCAATTTAGGAAATGTATTATAAATCTAAGTCGTGGTTTTTGTAATTTATAAAGGAATATTCTTAAATTATAAAGGCCCCTCTCAAACACAACAGCCTACATTGGTAAAGGCATTCTCATTTACAAAGTATTCCAAGGCAAACAACAACAAGGGCAGCAGCAGCAACCCAGTGATCTCTACCACTTCCGGCTACTCCAAGCATTCTGTGGGTATAAACATAGTAACTGATCAATCATGAAAGCCAGTTGGATCTTATCTCATAAGCACTTCTTGAGTCCCATTTTCATTTAGAGCTTCCTATAGATCAGTCTGTTTTCTAAAAACATTAAAATATGTTATCAACCAAGGTATTTTGTCTATAGTGAGCTTAATACAGCATGTAAAAAAATCTTTTACCTCAATTTACAGTATGACTCTGACCATTGTCTATTTTGAACGTAAAGTTAAACTTTCCCAGTTAAAAATCTATAAATAGGTATTATAAATATTCTATTATATCAATGTAAATATGTCAATATTATAAGTAGTTAACAGACTATATTATAAAATAATCTATATATTATAAAATCCTTGCCTTTTTAAAATAAAATCAAATTTGTAAGAAAAGCTGAATAAAGGGTTAGTTGAGCATACCAGTTATCAGTTCTCCTCCACGATGATCTGGCTTAAGAAATCCAAAAACAGTCTTACTTTGAATGGCACAATCCACACAGGCCTGCACGGTCCTCCGGAGCACCACATTCACGGGGCCCGGGCCAAAGTGGTCAGGCAGCTGCTGGATTTTCTTCGGATCCAGGTGAGGGCCAGCATTTCCATGTTTGTTTACATAGACACAGACTTGAGGAAACGTGTATATAAATATAACAATCAGATTGGTTAAAAGCAACATAAACACTACATAATTAATTACTATATCCCACTAGCCACACTTTACTCAAAGAGACCCAAATATAGTTAATATCAACAATCATTTCTGCTACCTAAATATATATATGCAAATATATTTTCACATTTGTATAAAGACCTTAAATCTAGTCAACTTTCTAGAATTTTGCCTAGAATAATTATAGTAAAAACTATCCAACTTTTAGTAGCATCACAAAACAATTCTTCACACATTCCCACATCATGTAAAATGGTATAAAGATAAATATTTTCACCTTTTAACTGTATACACAGTATAAAAATTTTCTTTCAAAACTGATCATGTTAATACACTCCTTGGACTGAATTTATTTTAAATCACCAACATTGCACCTTCATTGTATTTTCTAAAGTAACCAAGTAATTTAAGATACATGCCACACAGTAAGTTCTAATGACCGAGAGTGATTTTTTTTCATTAACTTAAGGAAAATAAAAATGTTCTTTATATACATGCCAAGGTTCACTGAAGAAAATTAAAAAATAATGCTTTCCTTAGTATAATAAAAGCATATGAATTAGAAGCAAATCATCTATAATCACACAAACGTCGTGTTTCCATAATATTTCTTCACTGAGAATCAATAAATATTAAAACAACATACAATGTAACAATATGAGTACATTATTACCAAGCAGAAAATATACTGTCCCCCTAAATCAAGAAGCACGTTATGTTTATCCATTACCTAATTTATATTGCCAAATTTTACATATACGTGGTCTATATTCAGTACAATAAAAACCCATTAATCTCTCTTTCACTATGTTGAAATACATAATTCAACCTTGTGGCAATAGCCAAAGGAAGGATGGACTCTGTCACAGAAATGAAACAGCTATTAAAAACTTAACCGGGGGCTGCCTGGGTGGCATAGTCGGTTGGGCATCCAACTCCTGGTTTTGGCTCAGGTTGTGATCCTGGGATCGTGAGTTGGGCTCCGCACTAAGCGCAGAGTCTGCTTGAGAATCTCTCTCCCTCTCCCTCTGCCCCTCCTGCTCATGCTCTCTCTCTCTCTAAAATAAGTAATAAATCTTTTTAAAAAAAATAAAAATCCATGGTGCTGATGGGATGGACAAAGTCCTACTGAACACAAGTGAAGCTAAACAAAGATTTCAATGTTTTATCTCCTTTGCGTTATACTTATTTAGCTAGTCTCTCCTGCCAACAGACTAAAAATCAGAAATAATGAACTGACAAAATGAGTATGTTACAATAATCCTTTAAGTGATTTCTATTTCAAAAAAATAATTTCTTTTTAATCAGGAAAGGGAAATTGGGAAGAAAAGTCTAAGGAACAGAAGAGTATAAGAAAGACAAAACTAGGAGAAAAAGCAACGGTACATGCTTTAAAAAATAGGAAGGCAACAAGAAAACGTAGAAGAGATGACAAATAAAAGGGGGATTTGTTCAGTCTAGGTCTGTGTCATTTCATACTCTTCACATAACAGAGAATAATTTAAAGTCATCATGCCCCTGACAGGAAAGGATCTTTCAAGATTTTAAAAGACATTTTAAAAAGATTTGAAGTAGCTTTAAAAGTACATACAAGACAAAAAGACATTGTGAAATAAGATAAAAGGAAAACAGATTTGACTATGATGTAAATTTTGTAAATCTTACTAAGCTGGATAAAATACTTTAAGAGTAGTGAATTTTCAAGTGACTTGTATATTTAAACAGTTTTTCCATAACATCAAAATGAACAACCAGAATTTCAAAACACTTTAATATGAAAAATGCTAAGAAAAAACCAAAAACATGTCTTATCATCTTTTTTTCTTATTTTATTGCTCAAATTTCAAAGACACTAAAATAACACAGAGTAAAAGATTAGTAATTTTGTACCCTAATACCCTATACTATGCTATACCCTAATACCCTATACTATACTATACCCTAATACCCTATACTAATTTACCTGTTGACATCACTATTTTAGATGTGCCAGGAGCAGCATCCTTATCATATGAAACACGACGCTTTCTGGCCAGGGAATTTATAGAAGCTGAAGATGTAGAGCACAAAACAGGAAAATATTTTTCCTGTAAAAAAAAAAAAAAAAGCACAACAATATATTACACATTTTTAAAAATTCTTAGATAAGGAGGTCGGAAAATTATCGGTCAGTGGTCACAAATGATCAGCTGTCAGAAGTCCTTGGGGTTGGAAACCCCTGTGTGTGTCACAAATTACAGTACTTTCCACACTGCGCTCCTCAGAGGGGCCCATGAGCTGGTCAGGTGGGAGAAAAAGAGACCAAGAGTAGGGGATTCCCAGCATTACCCCTCCTCCAACTGGTCACACCTTAGCCGAATGGCTCACTCTGTAAAACTTCTTTTTATTTTCTGAGGTTCCCTGCCTGGCAAGTTTTTTTCACACTGCTAAAGTAAAGTCTGCAAATCCAATCCAGCAACACATCAAATGGGGGTGGGGAACCTCAACAAGGCAGAGGATGGACTTTGCCTTTACAAAGCAGTCACTCATCTGGCTTTTACTACATCTGGCCTGCATTTCTCCATGTTATATACAATTTTGACAAAATTACAAGGGCTTTGCTAAAGTCCATATAAAATTATGCCTATTGTATATAAGAACCAAATGTCTTCCGGGCATTGTTAAGTATCACTAGTGTTTTATTTTGTATCAACTCTTGGGGTTTTCTTGGAGCTACCTTCAAACACAGTTCTCCAAAGTCAGAGAAGGGGGTCTTGTACCTAGAAAAGGTAATAATAGAGGATATTTTTAAAGCAGGGACAAAGGAGGATAAAATAGGGTAACATTCATTGTTGTATTTCCTTATTTGTTTAAATTAATGACTGTCACTTGGGTTCACTGTATTCTAGTAAATCATGTTATTTTTTAAGTACTGAATTATAATTATTATGTTGATATATTCTCATTCTTTCAGTATTTTAAAAATCGGAAATCTGAATCCTTTGACTTAAAACATACCAAGATAGTATGCTTGTATTAACACTGTAAATTGAATAAAGGTACATTTATTTGAAAAATGTGCTTCTATACCTCTAGAATCCTTAAAGGGGGGGCATATGTGGACAGTTGACAAAGAGTCTACTGTAAGAATAATTCGTACTCCAGTTCAAAGACTTCCTAAATAATTAAACTATGGGGGCATCTGGGTGGCTCAGTCGGGTAAGCGTCTACCTTCAGCTCAGGTCATGATCCCGGGGTCCTGGGATCAAGCCCTGTTGTCAGGCTCCCTGCTTCTCCCTCTCCCTTTGCCCTTCCCCCCTCCATGCTCCCTCTGCTCCTGCTCACTCTCTCTCTCATATAAATAAATAAAATCTTAAAAAAAATAATTAAACTATGGTGTGACAGTACTGAAAAAGGGATATAGGTAATTGCATGAGAACCTTCATCTTTCCATGATGAAGTAATAAAGCTAAGGAGATGGTGAATTAAAATTCTTCCTTTGAAACAAAAAATAGTTTATTATCCAAAAAAATTACAGAACCTGTCCCTTGCCCCACCCTACCACCTTCTAAACAATATTTTCAAAAACACCTTCTTAAAATTGTCAAATTAGCACTGGAATTATTTGAAAATAAAGGAGTGAAGAGAAACTTTATGGAGTTATATCTTCATCATTATGCCAACTAATCACAAAGACTTTTCTCAGCACCTGGAAAATACACATTAAAAATATGCATCAGGGGCACCTGGGTGGCAGAGTCAGTTGAGCCTCTGACTCTTGGCTTCAGCTCAGGTTGTGAGCTCAGGGTCATGAGATCAAGCCCCAAGTCCCGTTCCATGCTCAGCGCAGAGTCTGCTTGGGACTCTGTCCTTCTCCCTCTGCCCCTCCCCACTGTGCTCTCTCCCTCTCAAAGAAACAAACCTTAAAAAAAAAAATGCATCAATGACATCCTTGATACATTCTAGTTTTCAAAATGCATTTAAAATAAAGCATTATTTCCTTTTAAGTATCACAACTTTCCTTAATTTTATGCAATTTATTTTGAATTTGAAAATTTTAATCTAATGATTTATATTAGAATAACCTGCTTATTTGATTTTTTCAATGTTTATAATTTTATATTTGAAATATATTCACTGTTATTAACTTTTAATTTTTATTTAAAATTTTTGAATGCTTTTTGAAATAAAAATACCAACATTAATTTAAGCATTTTAAAATCAGGGGCGCCTGGGTGACTCAGTCAGTGAGCGTCTGTGGCTCGGGTCATGATCCCGGGGTCCTGGGATCAAGCCCCGAGCAGGGAACCTGCTTCTCCTTCTCCCTCTGCCGCTCCCTCTGCCACTTCCCCTGCTTGTGCTTTCTTAGAAATAAATATTTATTCATTTGAGAGAGAGACACAGTGAGAGAGGGAACACAAGCAGGGGGGAGCGGGAGAGGGAGAAGCAGGCTTCCCACCGAGCAGGGAGCCCGATACGGGGCTTGATCCCAGGACCCCAGGACCATGACCTGAGCAGAAGGCAGACATTCAATGACCGAGCCACCCAGGGACCCCAGTAAATAAGATCTTTTAAAAAAATAAATAAATAAATAAATAAAATAGAATGAAATCAAAATGGGATTGTCATTTTGCTCCATACTGTAAACATTAGTTGAAACAAAACAGAAATGTTATATATATTGATATCAGATGGCTGAACTCAGAAATGTTTATTACTGCTAAAATTTACTTTAGTTCTAATAAGATCTAAGAAGATTCTATGTGTTTATGTTAAGAATAAATCTCTTGTAGGGTCCCTGGGTGGTGCAGTCGGTTAAGCATCTGACTCTTGGTTTCAGCTCAGGTCATGATCTCAGGGTTGGGCTCCAAGCTCAGTAAGGAGTCTGCTGAAGTTTCCTCTCTCCCTCTCCCTCCGCCCCTCCCCCTGCTTGCTCAGTTTCTCTCTCTCTTTCTCTGCCTCTAAAATAAATAAATCTTAAAATACATACCTTGTAAAAAAAAAAAAAAGAATACATCTCTTGTAGAACAGATATATTTGGGTCTTTTTAAAATCCATTTTTATAATCTCTGTCTTTTAATTGGAAAATTTAGTCCACCAACTTTTAAAGTGATTATTAATATGTTTGGGTCTGGGTATACCCTTTATTATTTCTTTTCTATTTGTCTCCTCTGTGTTTTATTCCTCTATTCCTCCTTTCCTTTTTTTTTTTTTTTGTTTGTTTTCAATTACTTGTTGAATATTCCTTAGAATTCCATTTTAGCTTTCCTACTGGCTTTTTAGCTATACTTCTCTGCATTTGTGTTTTTACAATATGCCCTGGGCATTACACTGTATAACCCACATAGTTAAAAAACTTGCAATGACAGAAATCCATATCCCCTACTCAAAGCCTTTATACTCTGTTATAATGTATTACATCATGTTATGTATTGATGTTATGTAATGATGTATTACATCATGCCATATATATTACATTACCCCACAAGACCATATTATAATTATTGCTTTAGTCACATTATTATAAAGAAATTAAGAGGAAAAAAAGCAAAAAACAAATCATTCACATTTACCCAGAGATAAACTTCCTTCAGCATTTCTTACAGTGCTTATCTGCCAGTGTGGCATTCTCTAAGCATGCTTTTATCTGAAAACGTCCTTAGTTCACCCTCACCCTTGAAGAGTATTTTTGCCAGATACAGAATTTTGTGTAACACACCTACCTCCTGTGTGTACTGCCCCCAACCACAGTGTGTCTGCTTCCATTCAAGCCCCAGTATCTTCAAGTAGCTGTTTTTTCTATTATTTCCAGGTTTTAAAGTTGTTTTCTTTGGAGGAGTCAGTTAGGTGGCCTAGCATCATTGAATTTATCACTTTGATTCCCCTTTCCACCCGCTTTATTGAGGTATAATTTATGTACAGTAAAACTCACTTCACATTCATTTCTAAAGTGTACTGACTTTTAAATAAATTGGCCTGAACATAAATATACCCACACAGTATGTCCAATGTGGTTTTGAAAAAGTTGAGCACTATTCAAAGTTTTAAGTTTACCCAAGAAAAGAAATACCAATCTTGACAGCTAGCTATGTGGACTTTAAAAAGCTTTATATATGCTCTTTGTACAATACATTCCTAAAGGGCCTCATCATACTCTTAGTAAATCCTAAACTCTATGTTATAAATAAGGCACTGCAGAGACCTCTAATACAAATTAAGAGGAGATTAACTAACCTTTTTTGGGCCTTTTGTCCTTGGTGTAAGATTTTTAACAGCACTTCCCTTCTTAGGGACTGAAGTCTGTGCAGGTGGTTTAATGCGACCTGATTTCCTGATCTGCTGTGTTGGTAATATTACAGCAGTTTTCTGTGGAGACTGCATTGAACGTTGGGTTGCTTTGGAAACAGAAGACTGTGTTTTTGCTATATTCTTTGTAACAGGCACTGAGGGGAAAAAAAAAACAACACAAAAATAAAACTAAAGTAAATGACACTGGTATTGTCTTCTTAGGACTCTAAAGAAATTTAACTCAACCATTAAAAATATTCCAAAGGTTATTCATTAAAAACCACTTAAAATAAAAGTACCATTTAAAATGAAGTTTCAGAGGGCACCTGAGTGGTTCAGTCAGTTAAGTGTCTGACTCTTGATTTCAGCTCATATCATGATCTGAGGGGTCATGAGATCAAGCCTCAAATCGAGCTCCATGCTCAGCAAGAGTCTGCTTGAGATTCTCTCTCCCTCTGCCCCTCCCCCCACTCACACGTGTGCCCTCTCTCTCTCCCACTAAATAAATAAAATCTAAATACATACATACATATATAAAATGAAGTTTTAGGTATTTAAGATTTCAGATTATCAGCAAGTAGTCGAATTCTCCAGAAAAAAAATAAAGAGGCTTTTATAAGACAAACCGGTAACTTCAAACTTAGCATAGTGAAAATTTCTAGCAATTTACTTTTTGTCTGCTTCTCCTATTTTTAGTTCTTAGCACAGAAAAGAGTTTTCCCTTCAGAAAATACCATGCCAAAATATCTAACCATGCCATATGCAGGAATCACTTTACCCATCAATACAGAAAAACACAGCAAAACAGCTATCAACTCGTAGTTCATCTTTCAGAGGCCAGAGGAATTCCCTGCACTTGATTTTTAATGGCTCAAGCACATTACGTTCCTATATGTATGTCTAGTAATAAAGCTTCATATACTACAATATAGACTCTACATTAACATTGTCATGGAAGGACCATTATCACACCCAAGTAAGCCCTATCCAGACAGTTTGAGAAGTCAAATGAAGTTACCTGCCAGGTTATTTTTGTCTATGTTCATAGTCAAGTAAAAAGAGAAGTTTTTAGTATTAATCTCTTAATAATTTTATTACAAAAACATGAATTTTACATAGTAAGAAGTACTAATTTCAAAAATTCTTTACAGGAAGAGCTGTGTAAGTAAAACATTTACACATTTATGCAAAACTCAACTGCTTTTAATTGGAGGGCTTCATTTTACAACTTGAAACTAATCTATCACTTTGCTCCTCCCATACTCCAAGACTATGTATAAATCTGACCTTCGACGGAGAATACCACATCTTCCTGGTAGCCTTTTTATCTACCTTCTATCACTTGCCAAACCAAGAGGAGGGAACAGCCTTCTCTCAGCTGCCAGGGCAAAGGGAAGACCACTTAACTGCCACCATCACCTCCCCCGCTTATTTACAGTAATTCAGGTACTTACCCCAGTCTCCTTACCTCTTTACCATCATCTACCTCATACTCCACACTCACTTCTGCTTTCTTCAGTAACTCCAGTGACCTAATTCACACTATTTCTCTCTCTCACACAGTCTCCCTGTCATCATCTTCAGTAATTTAAACATCATAATCTGATGCTTCATCATCCTGACCTCATCACCAAGAGTTCAGCCCCTCCCTAAAATGGTTATACTTAGCTACTTCTGGATTCTTCTATCTCCAAGACAACCACTGTGCCACCTTTCTTTACCTCCAATTTTCTAACCTGTCATCTTTGCTTCATACAAACTGACCATGCTTTTTATGCTCATTATGAGCTCTAGCCACCAACCCTCTCCATTTTCATTCAATCTGTTAACTTTCTTCTGGCTTTGCTTTACTCCTTATCAACCTCCTATCCACTTCTACCAATAGCCCTCTAACTAGTAACCCTTACTTTATCACCCCTTGATCTTTGATCATGTCTAGCATGTTGGCTCCCATATTTGAGGCACACTATCATTTGCTTTCTCTGGTCTTGAGCTACAGAACAAGGGTCAGCAATCTTTTTCTATAAGGGCCAGAGAGTAAGTATTTCAGGCTTTGAAGGCCGTATATAGTCTCCAACACACATTCTTCTTTGTTTGCTTGGTTTTCTTAAATCGTTTATGAATATAAAAACCATTCTTACCTCACAGGCTACATGGGCTGGATGTGGCTGGCCCTTGGATTGTAGTTTGCAACTCTTGCTTTGGAACATGAGAATATTATTGATTGCTATAAAATCCACACTAACCTGAATTGGGGTGTCACTGCTGCAACTCACTAATTTCTAAGTATGTTCCACAGCAGAATGTTTTTCCCTGTTAAAAGTTTCCATCTCCTTCTCACTCTATTCCATTCAGCAAACGATTATGGGAAGATTAAAGGGTATCTTTGGGAGTGACCATAATCATACCATTTCTCCATCTTAAAATGCTGTTAGTTTCATTCATTTTCATCTCTTCCTCTTGCATCAAATGAAAAGTTTTGTCTCTACTCTTCTAAGTCCAATCAATCCCCTTTACTTATGTCCTAATAACTATCTTCTTTGGTTCCTCTGGGACATTATGGTTTCAATGTCCTCTCTCTTCATGGTATTTAATCACTTGATCCCCAACTCCTTGCTCTCTCTTACAACCCTCATAAACCCTTTATTTTGAAATTAGGTCTCCTAGTTTCTGGTATACTTTCAAGCCCTTGCATGAATCTCCTTCTATTCACTACCAAAATACCAAGAAGAATCACCTATACTTGATACTTCAATTTCCTCATTATTCTATGTTTCCTTAGCACCCTGTAATAAACTTTTCTTCTTCCAAACATATTTTAAAGAAATTCTTTCCCAAATCAGTAATGACACTTTCCTAGTTACTAAATCCAAATAAGTCCTCACTGTCTTGACTAATCTATTCATCTCCACAGTTCTGGTCTCCACCTCTGAATACATGACATGAAGAAAAGGAAACAGATTGGGCTTTGGACCTGAGTTTAAATTCTTGCGCCAGGTTGGTTTAAGACAGAACCTAGGAGAATAGAAGGTCCTCAAAAAATACTTACTGAATGAACGAAAACTATTTTCAACCTGCAACCCAATGTTATTCCTCTAAAACCAGTTCAATATGTAATTAAGTTATAACGAATAAAAAGTAACTTTGTGGAACATGGCAAATGTAATGAAATCATTATTTGATTTAAGAATTTTGGCGTTTTAAAATTTAAAAATTTGGCATTTGAAATTAATAAACTGTGGGACACAAATACTTGAGCTACAGCTTCAAATATTCCCCTAAAATGTAATATTCTATGATAATAAGAGCTCCTTAATTCATGGTATATACACATGTATGAGCAAAATAAAAAAAAATTATAAAAAATTTTATGTATGAAAAGAAATTTTCACTTTAGAAAGCAAGCTTTTCAAAGGCAAATACTCAGTTTCATTTACTGCCATATCCCCAGCACCTAGAACAAAATACTTTTTCAACTATTTTAACTAAAGAGGAAAGAGTAATCATCCAATATATTAGACATCAAAATTAACCTATATACATTATACATGTATTTATTATCTCCAAAAAGCAATCATATAACATATACACCATGCTGAAACTCTATTAAGTATTAATTAAATTATTTCTAATACAAAATAAATTTGTTTAAATGTTAAGGTTCAAATTATATATAGCACTATAACCATGTGTTCATAGTGGCCACAAAGTGAGTAAAAACCTTTTTGAAAAAAGTATGTGAAATATATAGAAGGATATACTAACCATCTTTAATAAAATTTTTATGTGAATACCTAACACAAAACCTACCTGGTTCTTCAGCTTATCTTCAGATAGAACAGAGAATGTTCAGCTAAGAAAAATATCCAGGAGATGAGAAGTTAGTGAATTGTGGAAATGCAAAAGAAATTAATAAATCTTGGGAAATGATCAGAAGGCAGTAAATAAAGTCAAGAGGAGGCCTGGAAGCCTGGAACGGGGGGAACTGAAGAAAGGAAACAGATGTCAATATTTATTGGCTACCCATTACATGCTAGGCACTTATCTATCTGCTATCCCATGTAATCCACCCAAACGTCCTATGAGGTAGGGATCGTTTCCCCCACTTTCTACATGAGGAGACTTAGGCTCTGTGAGGTTAGATAATTTAGCCAAGATCACCCATTTGGCTAAGAGAGTTTGGTCTCCTAAGTGCATGCTTTTTCGAATATGCTGCCTTGCTTCCTGTCCTCTAGCAAAAAAGGCTATTAAAATTCACTCCCCTGAGTCACAGTGCACATGTTTACAAAAAGAGGGTGAGGGGGACAAAAGACAACCTTGTGAATTCCTATGTGATATTTCACTAGAGAGTCCATAGGTGTTGACTTAAGTTTTTTAAAAAACCAGAAGTAGAGGCATACTTACAGAGACAAAACATTAACAAGTACAGACAAAAACATGCTGGTAAAACTTTTCATGCCTGGGGATTTAACCTTATTTAATATTTACTTACAAATAGCACTCATTAAATATACATTTCTGCTGACACATGAAGATGCTTTATTACTGAAAGATAGTGCTTGCCTTCTCTGAACTGTGAAAAGACAGCTGCACATATAATTACCACAGAAAAGGAAATACACTTAGAAATGAACAGCAACTTCCTGGTTCCAGCTACTGTTACACATGTGCTGGTTTAGCTTACACATGGCTGACTGGAACCTAAACAAAAACGGATCAGAGATATAAATTAATATGTATCTTGCTTTTGATCTAAAAAGACTTAAGAGGTATGGTCGCTTAGTGTTCTTCAGATTTTCCATCCACCAGTTACTCAATACTTAGGGTGTACTTTTTACCAGCCTAGGCAATTTAGGAAATCCAGAAGAAATAAATATGGTCCCAGTCATACAGTTCATGTTTCCCATGAGTATAACTGTGGATCCATAAAATTCCTATTTCCTTAAGTAGAAAGATGATACAGGATTTCCTTCTCCTCAAATAGACTGAATGCTATATGACAAGAACAGAAATTACTATAAAAACAGATTCCTTGAACTTGAGCCAAGAAATAAACAAAATCAAATTCTAAATAGCCAAAAACAGAAAAGTAAGATATGGTCTGGAGAAACCAAAAGTCGTAAAAAAGAAAAATCTGTCATTATAAACATTTGAC